AATAGTGAAACTGTGCTATTTTTATCTTAAAGATCTATTTATGATCCTTAAAATATACTTTTTTTGGTGTAACCTAGCCAAGTTGAATTGGTCTTTGAATTGAATAAATAATGTTAATTGAGATATAACCAAATTAAGCACATTTTAATACTACATGATAAATGTTCTTACAGTCAATAATTTATTCTGTCAAAACCTATTTTGAGCTATTTTAATCAGTGGATGTATAAATCATTTGTATGATATATACATCCATCATATATAATTTTATATAGAAAACTATAACAGCTGTATATAACAGTTAATATTTATATAATAAATAATATTTAGATATAACAATAATTAAAATATATTTACAATATGTAAACATGTGTTGTTATCATTGTTAAAACAATTTATTGAATAATTATTTACATTAAGGATTCAAATATCCATTTAAAATACACATTATTGTAGAACTGTAAAAAGAACTGCATATAACTCTTTAATAAAGCAAAATGTAATTGAAACAACGTTAGATAATATAATATCGTCAGATTTACTAAGATTCACAGATTTTTTTTATACCATTTAAGTCAGTTGAGTGGTCTAGTTATCGATAACATTCAGTCGTCATACTAATCTTTATGAATTTTGTCTCACTTGAAAAGTTGAACGTGAGGAACAGAGAGCCTGAGTGAAACTGTCAAAGACACGCCGAGCGCCCTGAGAATCCCCACGCAAGGCACACCTTATTAAACACTGCCTGATAGGGTCAATAGCCCGCTCTCCCAACACCACCCTAGAACAATTTCAATTTTAATAGCTTTTACTATGTATTTCACAGGCAAGCCCCCATTGAAATTGAGCCATCAAAAAGTCCCGCCGACAGATTCAAGCCCGGGAGCTTTGGCGTAATTATCCCAGCGGACGCACGCTTGTGTAAGGTAGTTCAACCTCGTTCATCATCTCCAGCAGGCCCCGGACTCTGCCTGCTAATTTCATCCCCAGGATTAGCTTTGATCACTTGCCTATCTTGTTATATTTCTTGAGGGTGAAATATCGCCTTCCACTTTTAATAAGGCTGAGCGGGGCCACGCACCGTTGCCTGCGCGCGGCATACGCGCGGAAAAAAGGGGCAGAAGGGGAGCAAAACTTTGCAGCGCGCTCTTCTGGGGAGTGACCGGAGAGAAAGAGTGAAGGTGAAAGCGTATGCCTGCGATACCTGCAGGGCAATGCAAGCTGTTTGCTCTCTGAATAGAAAAGAAAAAGAGGTGTGTGGGAGCTCTGGGCCGTACGCGCTGATACACCTCCAGAGAATGCTCGTGCGCGCCGAAATTAGCAGACGCTAGCGAGGCGAAGAACGAGCGTGACATCTTATTAAACTTGTGGATCAAATCCGCGTATCCTCAGATCATTTGCCATCCGTTTGTCACCTTCACCCTCCACCCCTCGCGCCCTGCGTTTAATTACAATGTATTGTGTTTAAAGGGGCAATTAAAGCCATCACACCAATGGCGTGTTGGACTTTAATTACCCATTGACAATAAGCGTGAATGCTGCTGTGTACTTGTAATAGCGTACAGTGCACCAATTTACGTTTATTTTTGCTCTTTTTTTTTAAACATAAGTTACAAATAACTGGTAACTTGCATTAATGAGACAATAATAAAGGCATTATTAGAAAATATATAATGCAGATCAATAGTTAATAAACATTATTATGTTTAACAGATTTAAATGTGCATAATTACATAGCAGTGGTTTTGGGCCCACGTTGTCTAACACAATTTTATTTCTTACAGTATTTATGTTTTTAATCTTTTTGTTATAAACCGAAACTGGGAAACAAATAAAACTGTATTATGTAGGATTATTTTAATTTATTAATAACAATATTAATTGTATTAAAAATAATATATTCATTTGAATAATTTTAAGTCATGCATCCCCTTTGGAGGTTTTCTGAGGCCCACTATTACTTTGCATACTGTATTATTCCATTTTGTTATGGCAGTGACCACCTATTTCAATGAATCGTGTCTCTGCAGGCAAAAGTTAACTTAGTTTAACCTTAAAATAGGTGGACCGTATTATCAAATACATGCCTGACAGTCCAGGCCAAAAGCTTGAGGAAAAAACCTAGACCTAATTACATTCGGATCACAGTGACATGAAGTATTTCAAAACACTGCTAGCTATTATTCTGTTTCTGCTCACCTTGAAATATTCAAGAGCTCACATATCACTCATTCATCGGGCAGAAAAATTGAAAAGAGAGATGGCAAAATATAATTAACCTTGTTACAGCCAGGTCAAACAACCGATTGTTATTCGTTTCATATGACAGCGCTTTGAGGCAATATTTTCCCAGGGAGACTCACGGCATACAACATAAATTGAGATCAAAATGAAAACAAGAAACCTGAATTAATACTACTGTACTGTATCAAATAAAAAGCTTCTTGGCACCTGTGAGATACCCTTAAGCAGTTTAGAGGTAAATCGCTATTGAACCAGATCCTTTTAGCTACTGGAGCTTATTGCTTCAGACTTTCATCACAGAGGCCGGCTAACATTTGATACTTCATCATCTACCCGTGGCCTCACAGGAGCCACTGAGTGCACCTGACACACACACTGCTTACAGACACAATATCTCAGTGTTAAAAGTTAATTTATAACAATATTAATATTTTGATATTTAGATATAAGATTCTTGATACACAGCAATTAACAATTGTAGGATTGTAAATGTGCACTGACTTATTGTGCTGCTTTAACAAGGAATCGCAAAAGTCATGAAAATACATCATTTATAAATCACAATGTACCCGATCATTAGGTTCTGTAAAATACTTTTGCTCATTTGTTGGATCAATTCATCAATGTTATTCATTTATTACCATATTTTAAATAAATGAATGGGCAAGTACAAACTAAGTGCATGATTAGACGGTGTTATTGAACTGTCTCTCTGGTGGTCCAGACCTGATCTGGTCTTGGTGTTTCCTGCTTAATTAAGAGTCAGCTGTCACATTGTTCATTACTTCTGCAACGCTCTTGTGAGTGAATTGCCTCCATCCATTAATATTTACAGCCTAATATCTGCAACCCTGAGAAGCCACAGCACTCAAATTATATGTCAGATAATTAAAAGAATAATTATGAATGGTCAGCAAGGTATGAGCCATATTTCATAGATGATTGTGTTTTTATATCCCATTTTTCATGGTTTAAATGTATTTTGTATGCAGATAAGCACAGGACACTTTTTAATTAACCATGAGGGGCATTATGAGCAACTTTGTTGTAAAAATTATTTTTGTATTTATCATGCATATAAACCAGGTAGAATTATGGGTTAAAATAAAGCAATATTTGTATACAATATTTTATAGTATTATCATAATTTAATTATTTACTATCATAATTTATCAATAATAATGACATGCATTTTATGTTTCCTCTTTATAGTTTTACTCAATTTTCAGAAAAAATTGGAAATTAGTTTTGTGATGCTCTTGATGACACATAGTAAATGCAGGTGCATGAGGTCATTATCTCATCATATATTCTTATATTACACAAATGTAATCCATCTTAAAGATGATTCCGCTAGCACCCAGTACACTCTGCTCCAGCCCCCAACCCTCCATACTATCCTATACAATGTGCCACACTTCCCCTCTCACAAAGACGGTCATTAATTGAATCACATAATTTTCCTCCCTGCCTCCCACAAAAGGCCATTTGCAACTTCAGGTGTGGCGGGATAATAGGGGATGATATTTCTATCCAACAATGCCAGGGGCAGACTCTGATCATTTTCTCTTCTGAAGGTTAAACTTAGATAACCTGCCTTTGGCATTTAATCAGCTACTTGTTAAACACGCTTTCGGTAATAAAATAATTTAAAATTTTATTGCTTCTCAAATAAGGCTCTTTTTAAATGGATTTAATGACTTTGTTAAGGCTTTGCTGAACGCATCCCTAGTTAGGCTAGTGTGTAAAAGCCTAATGGTAATGATATGCTTTACAGCTTGCAAAATCGCAATGATATTCATTAAAATGACTTTGGTAATCACTGTGTGTAAATTAGAAATACCTGTCCCATCGGCAGGCATTTAAAGGGATAGCATCCCATCAGACAGCATTCAGCACTATAAAAGTCTGCATGGTTTATAGAAAAAGAATTAGAAATATATGAGTGTTTGTGCTTTAATAAACAATCCTTATCTAATTTAGAGATATCATTAATGATAACCAGAATTTATTCATCTCGGTTCATGTTAATTTTACATTTGCCAATACACATTAAACATTTCGAGTTGTATGAATTAAAAATGCATTACGAACAAATATGAGTCAAATGTATTTATTAATTTACATGAACCTAGATTCATAAGCACTGTTAAAATGGTTGTTTACTGTTAGTTCATTATACCTAATGCTTTAACTGATGCTATTTTTTAAACATCCTAGCATATATTTAACATTAGCTTACAATCACAATTAATGCATTACTTGATAACTAGCATTTATTAATCTTGGTTAATGTTATTTTACATATACAAATACATTTATAACATTTCAAGTTGTATAAAATGAATCAATTATGAACAAAAAAGTAACAATATTAATTTACATTAACCTACATTTATAAATGCTATAAAAAGTGTTGTTCATTTTCAGTTCCTGATACCTAATGCATTAACTAATTTTACATGTACTGGTATAATTTTAATATTTATATTTGTATACATTTAAATTAATGTATTATAAACAAATATAAATTAACCATATTTATTCATTTACATTTAGGACTTTATTTACTTGAACCTTATTATAAAGTCTTGCACGTTTAGAGAGATGGCAACATTTAGCCATTTTGGGGTCTGTCCTGAGTCTGTCCTGTAAATGCTTGCTTTACCATGTTGATGTCGCTCTCGAGACCACCAAATACATATGCAAAACATAAAACGTCCAAAGTATTATATGAAAAAAAAATCAGCTTTCACCTTCCAACATTTCCTTCTGAAGACTTGATTGTCTGTCCTTCAGAGTCCAGATATGGTCATGCTTCCTGTCCACTGACACTCATATAAATGGCCTTATTATCTCCCATTGGGGTGGGGGAACCTGGTGTGGTCTGGTCCAATGAATCACCAACAAGCGCTCCTTTTTTGGCCGGGCTCCAGCTCTTGTTTTCTCATTAGGTTCCAGTGCCTGTTAATGACAAAGTAACAATAACTCACCTGGATTAAAAGCCTAACTCTGCAGTTGAGTGGCAGCGTGACCAGCTAATGAGGTGCATTTGGGTAAATTGTTGACAGTGCTCTTCACGGAGAAGGAGGGGCTATCTTTAATTTACCAAAGCTATGACAACAGTGGAAAGAGCAAAGTCAAGCAGATGAAGATGAATACACCGGTTGGGTCCCCGGGAACTTCTGCATTAGTGCATGACAACCTAAAATGCTCTTGTCACCAATGAGCGTCACATTCGCCTGTGGGCACTTAGTGGGGGAATAAGAAGCCGTCAGGATGACAGATTGCCAAAGACGGGGACTTCTGGGGGAAAAATGAGAAATGAACATTTGGTGGCGGCGACACACGATGGCTGTCAGTTATATGATATGCTCATGTCAATTTAATAATTCTGTCACCGCACTGCAGTGGACAAGAGGGAACGTATGAGAGAAGTCATTAACTTCATATAGGCCTCCATATTCTGTGAACGGTTACGTTAGAGCAACTCTTTGTAGATTTCAAAAACAACTAGTTTAGGCCTAGGTTTGCATGTTTCACATGTCAGTGTTTAGGGCAGAAATGCAGCCCATGGTTTTACTACAGTATTTCCACAGGGATGTGATGTGCCTAAAGATTACTTGACTTCCTGCTTAATTGGTCAGAATCTAATAATCTGCAGACAAGCAGCATATCTCAATTTCTTTTAAATAAAGCTGTGCCATTCTATACAACAATGAACTTAAAATTACATTTTAGTAGCCTATAATTCATTTTTTTTATAGGTTTTTGTTGTTGTTGTTGTTGTTTCACATGCTGATGTGCATTTCACTGCATGTGTATATTAGCATGTGATTATTAAACCAGCAACATCACAACAAGCAATATCATCTAGATTAATAAAATTACGACAACACATGATTATTCTTTCATGTATATCTGTCAATTATTTTTTTATCTCTTTAGTCTCAGTTATACAATGGGAGCTAAGTTCAGGAAAAGAAAAAAAAAAGATTAAAGAAAACATTGGCCAATCCCCCAAACACAAATTGTGTTGTAACTGAATATTTCTTTATACTTATTATTAACATTAATTTATGCTGCATAAAAACTAAATGCTGTAAAAACTATACTTACGTCATGTTACTTCATGCCTTAATTAATTTGAATAAACAACTATATTGTAAAGTGATAATATAGTATCAGTTATTGAATGGGACCTGTGTTTGGAAAAGAAAAGAAAAAAGAAAAGAAGAAAACTCTAAACACAAATTGTATTGTAACTGTCTTTGTCCAGCAGATGGCCATAAAGAGTTAATGGATGCACTGTTTGTATACGTGCTCGTATTACAATCCATTGTCACATCAATATTTCTATAAATTACATATTCATACACTTGGGTCTGTTTACGTGGTTTATGAAAAACTCTGGGACCACTATGTAAAGAAAAAAAAAAAGTAAATGTTAAGCGAGTTTACCAAAAAGTCCAAAACAGCACAACAGAACTCACAGTATGATTGTCACTGATTTTGTTTTTATTTGGGCCATGGTTTTACTACATAAACCATACTGACAACACGCATTTGTGAACTGCGTATTTTTTAATTATGATAAAAAGCAGCAACTTACCTGGCGTTTCAAACACACCTGACAGTTTCCATAAACTCCCGAGGACTTTCCAAAGCACCGCTCAAGCTGTGAAGTTGGGCGATACCATCTCTGCAGTGAGATAAGGGGTGACATCAACTCAGAAAAGGCTAATGGGGCGATACCATCACACGAGGATAGAGGGGTGTCCTGTGCGCTGTAACAAATCATCACACACGGCCGGCGGCATTTCCACAGCAGGGCAGATAGACTGATCGTGCTCAGCGGAGGCGGCTGAATCGCGCATCTCGGAGAAATGTACATGAACAGCCCGATTCCAGTCAGCTCCCCTTGAATATCTGAGTGCTTTCCTAGCGAATTAAAGGTAAGTTCGTGCTTGCATTTAGTGTTTCGCTTATTGCATGACCTGATCTGTAGTATGTTAAATAGAAACATATAGGAAAGACTGTTGTTGCCACCCTACTGATTCCAGCACCCTATGAAAATAATCGCTAAATACACTTTTTTTGAGTTTGACTGTAAAAGTAATCCCTGTAACACAACTTTCAACCTTATAACTAATGCAACTTTTTGATTAAGAAATGAAATAAAGTCAACATCTCATTCATTTAATTTATTACTTATGAAATGCAGAGAGAAAACAACTACATTATTTTACCACCTATGATGTAATTATTAGGCAGCGTAAATGTTTTGAACAGTTAATATCCATACTGTCATTGATCTGCAGTAGAGGATTTTATTATATGTTTTATTCTGTTCATCAGGACAATATATTGCATGCTGACAGTGCTGACCTGTTGCACACTAGTTTCATTCCCTGTAGAGTTTCACACTGGCCATAATGTGAGTTTATGTCTGACAGCAGGGCTCCTTCTAATTTAAAAAAATATATATTTACATAATGATTACATTAATGATAATCTACATAAAATATTTTGTATTGCATTATTTTCAGTGTCTAATACAATTAAAAATAACTCCTGAAGGAATTGGGTATTTCTTCCTATACTCATCCCATTTAGAAGAAGTCTGCTCCGTTCATATTGTGAAAGAGTATGAATGTTTTGTTGGGCTTCCCTCCATTTCAAACTGTAGACAAAACAAACATTTTATCTCTTCTCTTCTCTCAAGGACAAACATTGCTGCTTGCTGCAATGAGTTTCCTAAAAATATGGCTGTAAAAGCATTACCATTTGCTTTACAATTCAATATTCAACATATATTAAAAAAAAGTATTGTGCACTTCAAAAAACATTTAGACACTAGAACAATTTGTTACAGCAATACTGAGAATTTTGCCGCATGTCATTGTGTGCATTCGCAAATAAATTAACTAAAATCCAAGCGGCCAAAGGGCTTCAGTCTTAGACTACTAACAATATTTATGAGGGAAAATCAACACTTACATGCAGTAAAGTTTGAGAGCTGAAGCCGCAAATCAAGTGTTCTTACATTAGGAAAAAAGTACTATGTCACTCCCTCACATTTGTCTGATCAGTCTTACCTATTGCATTTAAATGATCTTTCAATAATTATGCAGTTGTATTGAGCTTTTTGCTTATTTATTCAAGTAGATTATATAGCATGTCTACATTAGCTAGCCTGTTTGTTTGGTAGTTTTACTTCATTTAATATACTATTTTTAGTGTATTGTATTTTCAGTGGAAAGTTACTTTTAAAAGTAGCCTAATGCATTACAATATTGCGTTACTCCCATAGACTGTATAGGTTACTCCCTAAAAAAGCAACTAATTGCGTTACTTAGTTACTTTTTATGGAAAGTAATGTGTTACGCTACTTTTGCATTTCTTTTTCTCATCTGGGCTGGGCTCATTTTTCTCTTTTCAGCAATAAAAAAAGGAAACACAAATGTTATGTTTATCTAAAGTCATTTTTGCTTATTATGCTTGAATTGGATCTTTGAAGGTCAGCAGCAAAGACACTGGTTAATAAAATGGGTAACACGTTACAGTAAGGTTCCATTAATTAGTGTTAGTTCATGTATTAACTAACATGAACAAACAATGAACAGTAAATTTATTACAGTATTTATTAATCTTTGTTAATATTAGTTAATGAAAATACAGTTGTTCAGTGTTAGTTCATGTTAGTTCACAGTGCATTAACTAATGTTAACAAGCACAACTTTTAATTTTAATAATTTTAGTAAATGTTGCAATTAACATGAACTAAGATTAATAAATGCTGTAGAAGTATTGTTCATTCTTAGTTCATGTTAACTAATGTAGTTAACTAATGTTAACTCATGAACCTTATTGTAAAGTGTTACCATAAAATGAGATTAAATGCATAAAGGATATTTGTGTTATTTAACATATTTAATTATTGCAGGTTTGCATCATATTCTGAGTTTGCATTTCACTGTTTTTATTCATTTTGAGGAGTACTGAATCGGTTTTTGTGCAAGTGGGATGAGTAAATGCATGTTCACATTTAGTCTAGAACTACAGTAACATCATGTTTACACAGCGCACACGACACCTCTGCACTTACTCCCGATTTCTCTCAATATGAGTACAGGAGAGCTCTCAGTCAATACATGGGAAAACAAAGTAACTGGCATTACTTAGGCCTATTTGAAAAAGTAACTCTTGTACAAATTCTTGTAATTTAAAAAGTAATGTGTTACTTTACTAGTTACTTGAAAAAAAGTAATCTGATTACGTAACTCATGTTACTTGTAATGCGTTACCCCCAACACTGGTATTGTCATTATTATTTTACAGATAATTCTATGATTTACAAAGCTTTCTTATACTTGATTGGGAAATTGATTCAGTGTCATGTTGAGCCTCTTTCTAGTTTTTCACAAAAACCAATCTGATAACATGAAAAAGCATAAAAACTTTACAAGATGATGATTTTGTATGAATTTTGTATGAAAGCATGAATGTCCACCCCTAATCTGTCAGTGGGGTGTAATCATACAAAAACATACTAATGAGATCCTACACATACATTCCAATTGGCCACCATTTCGCCAAAACATAAAAAAGTTATGAATTACCATGAGAGTGTGTTTCAAAAGCCACTCTAGAACCATTGGGAAGAAAACAACCTCAGCCATTTGGACGGAGAAGCCTTTATTCCTCACAAGCCCTGTCACAAGAAAACAAAAGCCTTTTCAGACTCCAAAAGTCTAAACTATCTGTCAGACTGAATTAGTAATTATAGAAATTGGTAACAAGAGCCTCAGGTGTTGATCTGAACAAAAGGCATCTTGAAACTTCAGCTGTCAAGAGATGACATATATCTGTTATTAAGACACCGGACAGCTTAGTTTTTGGCGAGAACAGCTGGTGTTTGGACTGTGTGAAGCAATGTTCACAACATTCAGGGCCAGAGGGATATTTTCTGCACATATCGCATTAGGCACTGTTGACACTGTAGAACTGGTGGAAGTGTAGCTGTAATGATAGCTTATTTAGGACAGGTGGTCTGTGACCCTGTGAATGTGACACCTAGTCCATCACTATGTGATCATGCTTTGAGATATTACTTAGTATCTTCATTTTTATTCACTAATATATGCTTCTTTCTGCTAAAAATGAACAAATTATTCCCGCAGTAGCCTTAAGATTAGACAGAAAGACCTGTCTGAATGCAACTGGCCATCCTTGAAATGTGATCTCTCACAGGGGTGCAGGGGTCAAAGGTTAAAGGTGATGAGAAGAATGGAGCGGTGCTGTCTGACTGCCCCTCTCAGCCTCTTAGTGTCCATTGAGCCTCTGGTTGGACCATGCCTGAGCACATCAAAGCACTGCCCAAACATTGTTTGCCAGCCCTGACCTTTGGCCTGTTGCTATGTGGTGGGCTTCACGTAGAAGTGTGTGTGTGTGTGTGTGTGTGTGTGTGTGTGTGTGTGCGTGCCGGTAGAGAGAGGCAGAGACCTGCTGTGTCACTCACTCCCTGCTCAACAATAACGTTTTCCTCTCTCTGTTTCCAGCTCTTCTACATACAACTCCCAAGGCTAAAAGTCTTTAAAGCCGCCCACCCCCTTCTACCATCCTCTTTAGAGAAGGAAAAAGTAGTGAAAGGAGCACTTTCTTTCTGTTTCAGATCTTCAGGTGCCCATTTTTAGAGATACAGAGAGTTTGTCCACTTGTCTCTAATGTGGTTTGCATTACTGTATTTTTTTGTGTATCTCCTCACCTAGTTGAACTGCAATTTTCTGAAAGAAACATTTGTTAGAAAAACAAATATAAATTGTTAGAAAAGTGAAATTTTAGACGTTTATGAAAAATTTAAAACGTAAGAATATTTTCTGCAAAAATACCATAATTACCACAGTTAAAATTTGATAAAATAGTAAATAAAATTGTATATACCATTCAAAAGTTTGGCATCAGAGTAAGATTTTTTTAATTAGTATTTGAAAGAAGTCTCTTATGCTCGCATTAATTTGATCAAAACTATAGTAATATTGTGTACAGTAATAGTAATATTGTAATAATAAAAGTAATATTGTGAGATCTTATTACAATTTAAAATAACGGCTTTCTGTTTTAATATATTTTAAATTGTAATTTATTCCTGTGTTGGCAAAGCGAATTTTCTCTAGTCTTTAGTGTCAAATGTTCCTTCAGAAATCATTCTAATATGCTTATTTGGTGCTCAAGAAACATTATTATCAGTGTTGAAAACAGTTGTGCTGCTTAATATTTCTGTGAACACTGTGATACGTTGTTTTCAGGATCTTTGATGACTAGAAAGTTCAAAAGAACAGCGTTTCTTTTAAATAGAAAACTTTTGCAACATTCTGAAAATTTTTACTGTCATTTTTTGATGTCCAGTGGTTAGCTTTTGTTAGGTCAGTAACCCTATTGGCGTTTGGTGGGCCAGTGTGAACCAGCTTTAACATGAAATTGAGGGGACAAATGTGTGTCAGCTGTGATATTTTGTAGCTAATTCTTCATCATTTGAAGTGTAGTGTAAAGAGTGTCAGAAAGATGTGTTAGTCAGACAGACAGACAGAGAGAGAGAGAGAGATGCGTTTGTCTGTAAGAGAGAAGGCCATAAACGGAGACACAATAGTTGGGTGATGTTATCCCGCGGGGGAGTCTGGAAAGATGAAAGACCTCGTCATCTCCCTGTAAGGAAGCTCTGTCTGGGAGGATGGGGCTGTTGAACGTCCTCGCTGCTATCACGTCTTGCTCTTTT